AGAAGAATCACTTTTCCGATTTTCTCACTCGTTAGATCTATCTATACCGCTCGACGCTTCGAACCAGACTGAGTTCAGCTTTGAAAATCTTTTCCTCCAGATTTTATGATTATAAATCTCACTATACAGTGCGTGCTATGTTCGCATACCGACCTTTCTTCTACAAACTTGCCTTATCGCTCTTTTCAAATGGCGCCTTTGAAGTGCTCGGACCGTCCTGAGCACGCCTCTCATGTTCTCGTCAAAACCCGCTGACATTTCTTGTATATATTTTAGTAATTTTACTATATTTTGATTTGATTTCTTGTGCCATTTCAAGGGAAAACTTCAGGGAAACATGCATGTCTAAAAAAGTTGCGCTGAAATAACTCAATTCCCCCCGTAATCACTAATAAACTTTAATGTCCCACGAGAGGGGGCATCCGAGTGATATGCTAGAATTTCGATGTCCCACGAGAGGGGACAGCGGAGTGCAAAGGGTTAAAGATACTCCCCGTAAAAGTGTCCTTGAGCATGATTTTCAAGGTCAAATTTTTTTACCGTGTCGTATAGTATTCGTCGGCAGGAACAATACTCTCAAAGGAACCATGGGTCTCAAGTCAACCCTTTACGTTAAAAATGATCTTAAAAGCGACATATAATAATTATACGTCGCGACCGCTAGACCCAAAATCGTAGTGAAACCGGCCGGTTAGTGATTCTACGTGCAAAAATAAATCGTAAAAGAAGAAATAAACTTTTTTATTTAAGGTTCCGTCTTCGAGATAAATTAGGCTGAAGAAATAATTCTATTGAATAAAAGCCACTTGATTAACTCCTTGACATACAATGGCGAGTTCATTGCCACAATTTCATGGTTCATTTCGTTTGTCACGGTAGACTGACGAGTCTAACTCGTCAAGAGCTGTTTTCGGCGGACACCGTGCAGTATACAGGGTGTCAAAAGTTATTGTACAAGCGGAAAATGAGGAGTTCCTGAGGTCATTTGAAGTAGCTTTTTCCTTAGCGAAAATGCAATCCGCGACTTTGTTTACAAGATATTGACGAAAACCAGTGACCAATGAGAGGCCGAGCCAACGAGCCGTCGAAGCCCAGTTCCGCTCATTGGCTCAGATAAAAAAGTTAAAAAACGAGGATTTTTAATTGTTTCTTTTCATTCCAGCTAATATAGCAAAATTAAAAAAAAAGCTTTTTAGCCATCGACTTGTAGACTAGTCATCTATCTATTAACTAAAAAAAATTCAAGTTATTTGGTTCAGTTTTAAAATAGTTATTGTGCGTTTAAAGGTGAACGAACACTTTTGTGAGCCACTGTACGCGCAGTAATAATGTAGTAGAAAATAGAAAACGTACAGGAAGAAATGGGTGAAGAATTCTAATTACATATCCCAACACTTTTGCCGTTGTCTTATTTTTATGTAGCGCAACTTAGACGGTGATTGTACATCTCTCGGCGCGAGACGTTATGCACATTTGGTAATACGGTTACAGTTGGAAGAAAGAAGGTTAATAGGAATTGTTCTCATAATAACAACGAACCGTGTTCACGCCGGAGTCGAACGGACCAAACATACTTTTCTCCAACGACTGTCTGCTCTATTTACGTCGCGATGGTTCCTCGTCATCGTTCATCAGGATGCGAGCGCGTTTAAATTACTTTTCCGCGCATCAAAAGATCGCAACAGATAAGTGAACTTCACACACGAACGTTTCACGGATGATTACCATACCATTACCGATTTTCCGCGACTCCTTGAAATGGATCCTTAGAGCTAGAACTATTACATCCTAGATTTGCATCGAGATTCGAGGTCGCGCATACAATCGATGTAGCGCGCGGGTACGTTTAGTTGTCCATGGAAATGTTGCTTTAAAAGCTTCATTTTACACGCTACAATATCGTTATGTAGGTGTACCATGTTAGATCGTTGGCACACGTAACAACAGATATGTATTCGGAACGTGAAACTTTGTAAACGTTGTGTGGGTATACAAAAGTCGGATAAAGAAGCTGTATCGAGAGATGAATTAAGCAATCGTGAACTATGTTAGCGATTCTTCACATGTTGTTAATATGAAAATTGTGAGAACCAAAGAAGCTGATGCCTGTTAGCAACCTATCTTATCGACTAAAAATTTACTTTATTTACTAAATTTTCGGCATGTTCGAATAAATGAGATGACCTCAAATTTGTTGAACGATTAAATTCTCTAGAAAATCTAGAATTTATTAAATTCTCTAGAAAATCTAGAATTTATTAAATTCTCTAGAAAATCTAGAATTTATTAAATTCTCTAGAAAATCTGGAATTTATTAAATTCTCTAGAAAATCTAGGATTTATTAAATTCTCTAGAAAATCTAGAATTTATTAAATTTTCTAGAAAATCTAGAATTTATTAAATTCTCTAGAAAATCTAGGATTTATTAAATTCTCTAGAAAATCTAGAATTTATTAAATTCTCTAGAAAAATCTATAACATAAAATCTTTTGTAGAAATAAAACGGAAATCCAATTCTTTGATTGCGTTTTTCTGAAAATATATTATATAATATATGAAAATACATATTATTATTAATACAAAATATTACATATTCCCAAATATATTCCATATTTGGAAATCAATATCATATTGTATTGTGTAATTTACCATTTTTGTTAAATTACTTCAATATTCACCATTGTTCATAATGTTAAACATTGTTCTAAACTGCATGTCTATAATACTTTTTTATTTGTTGCGAGTGATTTGTAAAACGAATGATTTATCCTTGTGCCAAATATTTAACAAGTCAGACAAACAAGGCACCACTGTTCCGAAGTATTTCGATGAAACATTGCTCTTCGAACGCTTCAGAAGGCCACCCTGTAGAAATAATTGAAACTAGAATTCCACGTGTGTGTAATGCGCGTGTAATGCGTGGATTGCATTCGCGACTCCAACAATTCTCGGAAATGGCGAAACAGATGCTGCGTGCTTTGATAAGATACTCCGGCCCCATAGTCCCATAGTCCTATAGTCCCATAATCGCATAGTCCCATAGTCCAATACTATCCATGGAATACGTAGCAAAGATAGTCGGAGAAAATATCGGACGGTCAGTCAAACAGATAGTTGCTTGGTACTTCAAGGTTCGGGAAGCGTTTGTTCTCCAGCAACGCGCGGTTCAGGCAACCAGGAATGGCCTGGATTTTCTTGGGAACGCGTCTCTGGGAACACGTCTCATATCAAGATCGGGAACTTATATACACGGTAACTCGATCTAAAACTGAGATCGTCAGATGCGATTGCACCCGGCCTCGAGCTTTTGGCATTTTTGCAACCTCCTCAGTCGCGTTTTACCAACGTTAAATCTAACCCTTATCTAGGCAACAAAACTTTTTATGGTTGTTTCGCAACCGGGGAATCCGGGTAGCTAATTTATCTTCTATGTAAATTTTAATCATGTGTCAATGCTTCGCGTTGCATAATTCTTTCGAAATGCATCATTTTCCTTTCCGATAGTATAAAATATAAAAAATTATGTTTCAAATCATTCAAATGAGAAATAATGATCTGCGTACAAGTCTTCAAAGTTATGCTTACATATGTATGTATCTAGCTTAAATGACAGTGAACTGCGTGAAAAAGCCAAATAATCGTCGCGTCTTTTAACACTAATTAGGGGAAAAAGTGCAGGATGCCTATAATTATATTAACATCCGGAAGGGAGTAATTCCTGAAGTCATTTGAAGTAACTTTTTCCTTAGTGAAATTGCAATGCGCGACTTCGTTTACGAGTTATTAACGAAAAACTATGACCAATGAAAGACGAGATCAGCTGGCGCGAGACAGCCGAGCCAATGAGTAGAAGTGGGCTTCGTCCGCTCGTTGGCACGATCGCCTTGCGCTAGCCGAGCTCGGTTGTCATTGGTCACTGTTTTTCGTTAATAACTCGTAAACAAAGCCACAGATTTCATTTTTGATAAGGAAAAAGTTACTTCAAATGGCCTCCTCAAATTCACTCCTTTTCGAGTGTTAACATAATTAATAAAGCATTAACTTCAGATTCTTCTGATGAACATTTTATTATTTGTAATTATTAATTACTAATTAGCATCTTGATTAACTTTTCATTGTATTGTGCAGCAAACGTGCTGTATTATACACATATTTTTTTATATTTATATTGTATCATATATATTACGTTTACATTAACGTATAAGGTTAAGAACCTGAAGGAAATTGTATCGGGAAACGAGAAAATGAAATATTACGCATATGCTAAATGACGCAAAGGGGTAAGGGGAATCGGTTGCCCGCTCCACTTGGTCTGTTCCAATTTTTTTTTTTTTTATTATTATTGGCTAAATTTTACGCTGAGCAAGAAACGTGATTAGGTGGAGCGGGCAACCGATCCCTCTTGCTCCTCGCGGCTATTAACTTGTTGGTCTTTTTATTTACCAATAGAAGTGGGTTTCGGGAGATTATAGAAAAATAGGGGACGCGCAGGTCGGGCGAAGCGAGCAGAATACCCCTCTTGCCCCTCTACCGAAACGGTGGATTTCTTCTGAACAGCCGACAGTACATAGTTCGCAACAATTAATGTTTGTAAACAATGTCTTGGACGGAGGCAACTGCGGTAGAAGAATATAGACGACAACTAAATCCTTCACAATGATGAACAAATCTTAAAGTCGATTTCTCGAAAACAGAGCCCCTGATAAAACAATATTGTATCAAATCTTTTTCTTATTTTTTCACGTAGACTCACCCTCTGCTCGGTTGTACCACAAATTCCGGTCCACCTTATATAGTAAAACAGACTAATGCAACAAATCTAGCCAAAAGAAATGGAATGCATTTTCGCAAATAGTCACTTTTCAAGTTAGTGCATTACTGAAATTTTGTTCGATCCTGGTATGAAGTATACAATTTAGATTGCTTTTCATATAAGTGAAACAAAGAGGAGTTATCGGACCAAGATAAGCCAGCGATGTGCTGGCGATGATATGCGTACCTTCACTGCAAATAGACGATGTCCGTTTGGATAATGGACAGTTCCACTTGGACTAGAATCTGTTTGGAGTGCTTCTGAAACAGGAAAAATGAAATTGCAATTAGTATTGTAGTGACAAGTGGTAATGATAAATGTAATTATTGAAATAGCTATTACACAGTTTGAAGTGGAATCCTTGTTTTGATTAATATAAAAAGTATTTTTCGGTATTCGTGTACTTTTCAATTGAGAATGTACTTTTAATACGTCTGTAAAACTTATTATATCCGAAACAACTGTTCAAATTTAATTATCATTTTCATTATCTAAAGGCTTATTTCCACTGTTTCTTGCGGATTTTCCACGGTTTTTGCCGATTAACCCTGTCACGCTGCTTCGTCGTTCTACTATCAATATAGATAAGTTTTGTGGTAATGCAGTAAATTCTTCCGAATTGCTCAGTTTGGAAGCAAAAATGGACAATCTGGGAAGGGGAGGTATTTTTATTAGGAAGAGGAGGCCAATTTTTATTTTCCAATCCATACTGGGAACACTGAATTCATTGTAATTTTGATCAAAGAGCATATAAAATACATATATATATATATATATATATATGTATATCTAATTATAAACAGGCCACGTAATTTCACCCATTTATGGCATAAGTAAAGTTCTACGAAGAAATTAATAATACTTATTGTTTTATTTTTACTGCGAGGAATCTTTTAATAAATTAGAGGAAATCAAAATTTTCGCCATTTTACCATTTTCCTAAGTTAAATGCGAAAACGTGTGACTGAGAAATGATTCATAGTCTACACTTAAGTATAGTATAGACGGTAGTATAACTTCATGTAAGATTTATTAATAATACTCTACCTGATTGGAAGGTGAGACTTTCAGACTTTCAAGTCGGCTGTCCGATGTATGAAAATCTGTGATTCACAGGGTTTAATGGATGTGCAGATCACGAAGAAGTGTGCATTTTCCTTAAGAGGAGAAAGGCATTCGTGTAAATTATGAGATGATTCAAATTCTTCCTGGTGAACGTCATTTAATTTAAAAATCCAGCGCAGGTGCTCGCAATTAGTACTTTCTACATCGATCTCCGATGGTCTCATAATTGTACTAGATAAAAGTAGTAGGTGTTGCATTTTAGCGAGCATCTCGTCGCTTAGTTTCAGAAACCAGCGCTTTTCTTCCGCGCTGGTTTCCTCGTGAGAAGATACAGAAACTGGCGTTTTCATAGAAGCGATGTATGATGCAATCTAAGACTAAGAACGAAGACAATTTTCGTCTTATATATGTCAAAATATTCGGCATGAACCGTAATTTTTAAATGCACTTTCACTTTTAATAAATATGTCAATCCCTTTTAGATATTAACAGTGAAAGTTCACTGTAGATTTCAGCGAATTTTGTTCAAACTACATATAAATCTACAAGTGCGATCATCTTCTAAACCAATCACGATTTGAATAAAAATCAAATTGATTCGATGCGCGTAACTAGCGTCTTCAGGATGAGAAATTCCAAATAGTTTTTGTGCCTGATGTACTTAAAGATCCATTAAATATAGCACGCATTATGTCGGGATTATGAAAAATATGTGAAATCCGCAATATTCACGTGCTTCGAAGCGGGAGAAAGTGTTAAATCTTCAATCGACGGTGGTCGCGGACGTAATGAAGGAGAAAGCAGATCGAAAGGATTCACCTCGTGACCAGGGTAAAATGAAAAGAGTATCGACCGGGCCTCTAATTAAATCATAAAACAGCTCCGAGTATTTCACCGTAATGGCCAGAGGCTGTCCGTCGATATTCCGAGTTTCGTGTAACGAAACTCGCCTAATTACAGTTCGGAAGAGGCGATCAGCTCATTACGAGAGCCGGGTTTCGAGCCGGACCGTCTCGATCTTGATAAGTTGTCGATGCGATCGGTTATCTCGAGCCGTTGCTATAATAAGACACCCGTGACCCCCAAAGCAACGTTAGCCAGCTGTTGTTACAACAACGTTACGATAATTAACGGAATTGAATTAACCGTTCGATGAAATCATTGGAAGAATGCCCGTCTTGCGCGTCGGGCGTTGTGCCATGCTCGCCCACGAATATGGAGCGTTAAGAAACGCGGGTATTTTGTATCGGATGGAACCGACAAAAGAGGGAATGATTAACAACGTGCAATTTTCAACAGCGATTCTCTGGTAACCAGTTAGACGATTGAAACTCGCTAGAATATCGTGGAAGCTCGTAACGATCGCTCGTAATTGAGCCGCACTTTCGCAGAATCATCGCTGAGATTTCTTCCATATTTACGTGCGCATTGTGCTCCTGGTTTTCTCGCTGAAACGGTACACGCGTGTTTCGCAGGAAAAGATATCGAGTCGGCAACAAATTCATTTGTTGCACTTTTTGCGCGAGTTTGTTATTTTTGCTTTCGGGATCGATCAAAGTATAAATTGTCGACCGTTAAGTTCAATTCCTTTTTACACGGGATTGTAACTACGATTACGTTCGCGTGACTATGCTCGCAATTATAATTATGTACCGTGATTCTATACTACCTCGACTGGAGCGCTGATTGTATTTATAACCGATACCGATAATTGAAAATACTATTCGCTTGTTCTCTTTTTTACCTTATAACTTGCCGTCGCAAAGCGAAACGAACTTTCCGTTAGATTCAATATTAATCTGGAACGTGATTACGATTATCTTCTACGCATACACTTATCGCTGTATGCGACACGTAAATCGAATCGATGTTGTACGCAACAAGGAAATTTTTAATTTATATAATCGATTTGCAAACTTCAATGGTCGTTGGCGTATTTAGGACACGTCGAAATTATATACATACACGAGAATTTTTCTTTTCAATGTCGACAAGTAATTGTACTAATAATAATTTAAACAAGTACAAAGAAAGTATTGAAAGCAAATATTAATCATTTATACGCGTTAGAAATTTATTCCTTAATGTTGCATTTCTATTTTTGGTGAATACCATAAAAAGCTAATGAGATCTAGATGGTGGTATCGTTTATGCGATAGTATTACCGAACATGAGTTCACCGCCTACAGGGTGCAGGCAAGCGATGCAGGATCGATGCACAAGTCTCCCTGTTTAGGGATAAGCTTAGGCTAACGGCACTAGTTGCTGGCAGCTGTGTGACCCGAGTCTACATAGCTTTATAATACATCAATTGCTATCGAGAAACCAAATAAATTCTTAACCATTTATTTTATTGCTCACTTCTCCGCGTCATCTGAATCTGATTTGAGTAATTATTATAATGAACATTATAATAACAATCGCATAAAATATAAGTGAATTTCATTCAACTGTTTTTACAACAAAATGCGAAGCAATCGCGTTTAATGCTTGATTATTTTTAATCTTCGTTTCCTATTTTGGAATTTCTCTTTTTTGGTCTCTAATAGAGAGAGAGAGAGAGAGAGAGAGAGAGAGAGAGAGAGAGAGAGAGAGATTAGAAAATCACGGAAGATTTAAAACAAGTGAAATGGCAATGCAAAGTATCCGTGATTCCTACACAGATTAAATTTAAAAATAGAACTTAAGTTCGGTCCGTATCGTAATCTCGTGAAAACATACATTCGATACAATGCAATTTATCAGAACACACAAATCAATTTTTAATCAGATATTCATTAATTAAAATGTTTATTTCCACTAGCTCCTCCATTTCTGCGAATCACAATAGTTTAATCGTTCCATACATGCTACAAGGATAATTTGTCTGATTTCTTAACGTTGACATGCCATTTTTATGCGACGCGACTACTTATCTATGAAAAATGTGGATGAAAATATTCAAGAAGCTGGTTAAGATCTACCTACGAGATATAAGAAGCTAAAAATAATAATGACTAGACTGGGAACCACTATGCAAATTCAAATTTCTAAGAAGTAGTTCAGAGAAGCTAGAATTATGCAAAGCCATACTATTTTAAATAAACGATTTCGCTACATTAAAGGATGATTTTTCAAAGATTTTCATCTTGCAGTTAATGTTACTGTTAATATTACTGTTTCTCATAACATTCTTTCTTCGTGCATTTTTATTTACTTTCGGCATAAAGCTTAATATTATTTACGTAATTTTAACAAACACGCTTACTGTACTTTTAGGTAGAGTAATAAAAAATCTAATAAAAAATCGAATAAAAAATCTAATAAAAATGTTCTAGATTTGATGAAATGTCTGGGTTCTCGAATTAAAATGCAAACAGTTCAAATTTATTTATTGATCTCATTTCCCCACTCTGAAAGGTATGACAAAGTAGCAAACAGATAAAGATATTTTTTAACGGAATTACATCAAAAAATATCCTTGTAATTCCATTAAAAAATCAACAATTATTCATTGTCTCCTTTAATCAACCGCTGACGATTTTCATCAATCGATTAATTGAATCGTCGTTTGTTCGACGATTAATGCTTTAAATCGTTTTTATCAATCATCTAATCAAATTAAAAATTTGAATCGATCGATACCCAACACTGAAACTGAGTACAGTAAATTCTTCCTCAGATTGTGCACAAAAATGAACAATTTAGGAAGAGGAGATACGATTATTCGAGTCTTGCGCTCGTTTTTATAGTTGTTGACAGTCCTTGTTATTAACTATGAAAAACGAGTCGTATAAACTAGAATCGTAAAAAAATGATCGTATAAATAATCGTATCTCCTCTCCTATCGAAATTGTCCATTTTTGTGCACAATCTGAGCGTCAATTAGGAAGAATTTACTGTACGTAGCCTTTACCAAACAGAACAGATTGAATTTATTTAGATCTCGTACTGTTTTCATTATATCGTAATATGAGTTTGAGTGATAAACATTTTATCAATCATTTCCCATACAAGTGTCTATAATTTCTATAGGAGTGAAAATAGAAAATCAACCATCTAATTGAACGGCAAGAGATTTCAATGAGAAACTGTAAAAGACAAAATTCTCACGGTACCGTTGGCACATGTTACACGCAACAGATTATTGCATCGAAATGTGCGATATTTAATTAAAACTAAGCTAGACCAAGCGAATAGACGGTGGCTGACCCCT